TTATAAATCTAGCTTGTTAGTAACTTCTCCCTAAACAGTTATTTGGTCCTGTTTACCCTTAGTTTATTACCCCTTCCCCAGCTAGAAACATGCAAACCTCATCATTACTGTTTGGTACCTGGTATGAACAAGGTCGTAATTGCTAACTGGCTATTTACACATTCCAATTCCTGTCCTTTGTTGTTAAGGTCGATTAGAGTTAAACATGGAAGGACAGAATTTAAAAATGGAAGAACTCTGGCTCAGGCAGGCCTAGTAACCCCAACACATTCAAGCAAACCAGTTTTTTTCATACAGGGCCCAGTTCACACCATAAGCAGAGGCTTATGCACCACTTAAGACCTGTTTTGAAGTCTTAAATGGGACTTACTTAGTGCTTGTGTGGACCCTTGGATCAGGGGGAGAATTTAACCTAGAAAGCAAAGTTTCAGCTCACACATTCCAGCATTCACACTGAAAGTGGTGTATTTTATATGGGATAGAACACTGCTTGACAAGCATAGGGGTAGAGTTCTCAAAACTCCAAAGCAGAGCATTGTTACACAGGCAATTATAAGCCAGACAAGTATCTGCCCTTATACTTTGCCAATATGACTGCCCACATTCACTTTTGCTTTGTGTCAGTGACCATGGGGATGAGAGAGAGACTTAGAGAACACTAAATGCAGAGAACTATATATATTTTATATAGGAACACTGTCTGATGCTTCAGGGAAACAGTGTTCCCAAAATATTGGATCACCCACACATAGGGTGACCAGACGTCCTGTTTTTAAAGGAACAGTTCTGGTTTTTGGGACTTTTTCTTATATAGGTGCCTATTACCTCCCACCCCCATCCCATTTTTTCCACAGTTGCTATCTAGTCACCCTACACACACATGCAATTGTCTTACACAAATATGACAAAAATAAATTTAAATTCATACTCTGCATCCATCCAATGATATCATAGCCACATGACTTCAAGATTTAACATTTTATAAAAACTCATTCATCCTGACCTGCTGCTACTTAAACTACGATGGCTGATAGATTTGTAGATTTAAAGGTCAAATCATCTAGTCTGATTACCTGTATAACACACCATAAAATCTTCACTCAGTGATTCCTGTATTAAGCCTATAACTTCTGGTGGAGCTACAGCTTATCTGTAGAAAGACAGCCAGTCTAGATTTAAAGACTTCAAGTGACAGAGAATCCACCACATCCCTAGGTAAATTGTTGTGATGGTTAAGAACATTCACTATTAAAACACAGCATCTTATTTTTAGTCTCAATTTGTCTAGCTTCGACTTCCAGACATTGAATCTTGTTATGCCTTTATCTTCTAAATTAAAGAGCTCTCTACTATCAGAAATCTGTTCCCTAGGAAAGTACTTGTAGACTGATCAAGTCACCTCTGAAACTTTTCTTTCTTAAACTAACTAGATTCATTTTCTTTAGTCTCAGATGCACAGACATGTTAAAAATGAGAAGTTCCCTGCACCTGAGGAGCTTGCCATTTTAATTAGGCAGATGAAACCAAAGAATGGACAGACTGATGTAGCTAAAGGAGGAGGGAAGGTAAAGAAAACAAAAGAAAAAAGGGTAAGGATTCTTGTGAGACCATCATTTTCCCACAGAACTCAGATCCTTTATTTAAATTTTTCTGCCCTAATTACTATATTAGAGGCTATATTTAGATCTGATATTTTTAAAGATGGCAGGTACTGTCTTGTCTCAGTTCCATTAAATTCCTTCATGATGCATTACACTGCTAGATGGAGAGGAAAACAGGCCACCTGCACCAACTTATTAACTAGAAATGCAGCTTCGTTATTGGCTAAAATAAGTTGTTAAATATTTTTCTTTTCCTCCTCGCAAGAATCTTTGAGAGTAATGGAGGTTGTCAATGGATATAACAGCACAATACTTGCCTTTGGCAAAAAACTGGGAAGATGAGATTGTCAAAAGAAATACATGAAAAAGATTACTAGCACTCATTCTCCACAATAATATTGTTTGTACATCCCAAAACCTATGTATAGCATGTACAATAGTAATTAAGGGACAGATTCCAGCACCTTTTCTCATGTTGAGTAGCACCTTAATTGACAAGTAGTCCTATTGATTTCTTACCTTAAGAATGGCCTGTTATATTTTAACAGGTCTACTCACAAATTAAGGTACTACTCAGCATGAATGAGTGTGGCAGAATCTGACATTGTATATACAATATTATTTACATATGCTAAATACCAATCCCAGATGCCAGCATAAATATAGAGACTAATCTCCTGGGACTGTTTAACTAATAAATCTTCATTTAGACAACTGAAATACATAACTTGTACTGAGTCTCATGAAAGCTTGAAAGCTCTTTGCTTTCCAGCAGCAGCAGACAACATGGCCTAATTCCCATGTGGTATAATTCAGCAAAGTTCCACTAAGCCCATTGATGTATTCTGATTTTCACCAGCTGAAGATCTGGCCCCATGTGTTTACAGAATACGGGACAACATTTAAAATTAGAGAGACAAGTGAGTGAGGTAATATTCTGGGATCAAAACAGCTACAACAACACTGCATGCAATACTTAAAATTGACTGGACAAGACACTGTCATGACCCACAATTCTTGAACTCAGGTCCAAGGGTGTCATCCCACTCCAACCGTCTATCCAACAGCTTGCTGGCATCAGCTGGAACTGGGATTCCTTCAAGTCCAGCTCAGACAGGGATCTCCACCGTTGGGCCCCTATTGGTGGAACACTGGAATTCCTGATTGCCCGCTTCCCCTACATAAACTACAGGAAGGAACAGGAAGTTCACTACTCAACTGAGCTCCACCCTCCTTAGGACTGCTCACCCAGTGTTACCAGCCCTTGTTTCCAGGTCTTGAAAGCTTTATTTCCTGGTATCTGACTTTTAGTTCCTTACCTTGGGGTTTGAACCCCAGTTGGTGTGGAAAAATACCCCACACACACCATAAGCCTAGCTGCCTACATTCCAGCCCTGACAGACACTAGAAAACAATTACGGGTTCATATTCATACACCAGTTTGAAGAATACAAAGTATTCTTCATTAATAGAGTAGGAAATAACCTCTTGCAGGGGCTGAGATGACCTAAGGGGTCTTTGTCATCTCTAATTTCAATAACTCTGTATTTATTTGTGTCATGCTCAATACACTAAGTATACATTACCTCTATCCATTCTGAAAAATAAGTTGTAATTAATGTGCCCCTGTTCTTGAG